GCGGCCACCAGTGTCCTGCTCCCTTTGAATGGCTCTGGAGGCCCCTCTGCAGCTGCTAGGGCAGCTTGGAAGTCAAGCCTGCAGGTCTGAGTGGCCCCATGGTGCACCCCGTGCCCCCCGTCACTCGCACCAGGAGCTTGGGGGCCTTGGCCTGCTCCAGGCCTCAGTTTTCTCATCTGTGAAATGGGGATGGGAACTTCCAACCCGTAGGCCAGAGGGGGGCAGTGAACTGCGTGGCCCTCGAGGGCCGTGAGGAGGACACTCGAAGCCTCAGGAAATGACCTTTCCTACGTCACTGACCACAGCCCACCACCTCATCCATCCCAGCGGGGCCCCTGCCTCTGGCTCCTGCAGCTCTTCTGCCCCGCGGTCTCCCACTCTGAGGGACCCTGTGCTCACCTTCTCTGTGCAGAGGTCCACGCACTTGTCCACAGACATGTTGGGCATGGCGGCCGTCACAGGCAAGGCCAGGGAGAGGTTGTCAGGCCGGTGGAAGCAGCCTCGGAATACTGCACTCCCATCTGAAGACCAGGAGGGGAAAGCACAGTCAGACCTAGACGGAGTCAGACCTAGATGGGAGAACCACCTTCTAGAGGAAGCTCTTGGAAGTTGAAGCCCAGAGAGGGCAAGAGTCTTGCCTAAGATCACACAGCAAGTCAAAACAGAGACAGAAAGAGCAATTGCAGCTTTTGCTCTTAAACAGGACTGTTCACAGTCCATGCACCCTGTAATGGAAAGGACGTTCTTCTGGGTGCTGGCATCTTTGCTAACAATCCGGGTCCCTGAGGTGAATTTCCTCCTGAGTCACTTTACCTTCTTCCCTTCAGCAGTACATTGCTGTGTGTCATTTCCTCCTTCATGGTGGCCAAGCCCCTTTTGGGGAAGTGACAACCCATGGAGGTCTTTCCTGATCCCATCAGGAGATGGTGGAGCATTCGAGGCTTAGAGGAAGCCAAAGTCCTGTCCTTCCTCCTGATTGCCAGGGGCCCCTGTCCTTCCTGGCCTTCGGGGACCTTGGGAATCCCCTACTGAGGACTGAGCACCTTCAGGCTGCAAGGGGTGCTGTGTCGGGGGACGCCCCGTGTGGCCATTTGGCAACGTACCAGCCACACAGTAGCCAATGTGGAGGCCACTGCTATCTCAGGAGAAGTCACCTCCTAGCAAACATTCAGAGACGATGTCCTCGGCTTATCCCCTGGACGTGTCACTGTACTAAGGGGCTCTGGGTGGGCACCCATGGCACTTGGGAACCGTGAGGGCAACCCTACAGCTGTGCACAGAGCCTTACCAGTAAGGATGGTCATTCTGTTGAACTAACACCTGAAAGACTGGAAACAACAGAGCTGTCCAACAATGAGGGATTAGACAAGTAAAATACGTAGCCACACCAGCGGTGGGATTCTATGCCGCCATTGAAAGTAATGGTGCTAAAGCTTATTTTAACAAGGTAAAGATGTGTTTGAGATTCAACATTGAATAAAAACTAAGAATATAAAGTTTCACCTACCACAAAATATCAATTTTGTAAGGAAAAAAAAAACCATCAATAGAAATCTCCAGAGGGACATATAATAACCATGATGTTTCTGGAAAGTGTGATGGGTAAATTTTCTGGGT